GCAACAGTGCTAACCACGGTGGTAAATATATATATATATATATATATATATGTATAAATAAGCATAATTGGTTGGGGGAGAGTTACTGCCCCAAGCATGGGAGTTGAAGTATCTCAGGGTTTTGTTCAGGAGTGAGGGTAGAATGGAGCGTGAGATGGATCAGCTGCAGCATCTGCAGTGGTGCAGGCACTGTGCCAGACCGTTGTGGTGAAGAGAGAGCTGAGCCAGAAGGCAAAGCTTTCGATTTACTGGTCCATCAACGTCCCAACCCTCACCTATGGTCATGAGCTTTGGGCAATGACTGAAAGAATGAGGTTGTGGATACAAGTGGCCGAAATAAGTTCCCTCAGAAGGGTGGCTGGGCTCAGCCTTAGAAATTGGGTGAGGAGCTCGGACATCCGGAGGGAGCTTGGAGTAGAGCTGCTACTCCTTTGCGTCGAAAGGGGTCAGTTGAGGTGGTTCAGGCATCTGATCAGGATGCCTCCTAGGCGCCTCCTGTTAGAGGTGTTTCGGGAACGTCCAACTAGTAGGAGGCCCCAGGGTAGACCCAGAACACGCTGGAGGGATTACATATCTCATCTGGCCTGGGAATGCCTTGGGATCCACCAGGAGGAGCTGGAAAGTGTTGCTGGGGGGAAGGACGTCCGGAATGCTTTGCTCGGCCTGCTGCCCCTGTGACCTGGCTTTGGATAAGCGGTTCAAAATGGATGGATATAAACAATAATAACACAGATGTCTTATTGTTTCATATAAAAAAAACATGAATTGCTTCATTGAAACCATTGTGATTTTTTTTGGAGTCTTTTGACATTAGTGAGTGCTTTTAATAAAGGAGGCCACAGATCCATCACATGTATGAGACTGTTGTTTTCAACATTTTCTATTCATGTGTTTGAAATTAGCAAAACATAAGCCTTAAGAGAGCTTGCTTAGTTTTTCTTTCTCTCTCCAGCACGTGGTCGTTTAGAGGGAAACCATGATGGAACGCTGGCCCTGCTCTCAGGGCCTCTTGCTCCAGATCCTGTGTTGTACCCTGGCTGCTACAGTGCTCGTACCCCAGCACGTCCTCCACGCATCAGCCCTAATGCCGCACATATTCTGGAACGAGGACAGAGAGGGCTAGTAGGGGAACTACTCAAAACAGACAGTGTCTCTATCACTCCTGTTCCCAAACAGAGTAAGTGCAGTTGATTTTTAAGGTCTGCACATTTTTTGAAATGCAAAAAAAATATTATGTATCATTACAAGCACACCAACCCCATATAAAAAGTAAATGAGAACTTCTGCAATTCTTGACCCTCAGAACAGCGGGTACATGATTTTGGTAAGGAAAATGTGCGTCGACTCAGGGAAATCCAGAAACGCTGTAAAGAACAGGAGGCAGAAAGAGCGCAGTCTCGTCAGGTTCCAGTCAAAGCTCTTTGGACCTCCTCCAAATACCAGAACGTCCCATCCAAGGTGATGATCCAGCTACAGGTAAGGAGCATGTCTGTGAAAATTTGAAGTTCTTGAGTTATGAAAACTTCTTCTGGATAACTTTTAATCCAGTCTCTTTCATGCAGGTTTCTACTCCAACTCCTAAACCACAGTGTCAAAACTTTCTGAAGGCCCACTCTACTACCCCACCAAGATCACGCTCCAAAACCTCTCCTGTAGCTTTGCATCGCCCGGCCTCCTGCAGCTCCATACAGGGCCAACACCTGCAAGTGAGAATTAGCAATAAGTGTTTACTTATTTACACACATTTACATGATCTGACAACAGGAAGAGAATATTGATCTGGACAAGAGACAATTATTTTGCTCCAAAAGTGTGTATCAAACCAATCTGGAAATCCATTGGTAAAAAAAAAAATAAAATAAAAAATAAAACTTTTTTTTTTTATTCCTTTACCTCTGGAGGCACATCTGTCTTGAGAGATTAGTATCAAACAAATGACATGAATATCACTTAGGCTCACTTTGATGTGTGTCTGCAATATTTCCTTTTTGTTTTAACTCCATACATTGTTGTATGTGGATATAGTTACAGGTGCAAGGCCAGACAATAGACTTCATAAAACACAATGCCCGATCTGCAGGAAAAACTGTGCTACGTCGGTCCCAGTCACTGACAAACCTTAGAGAGAAGCCCATCCCCAGTGCAGTCATTGGACAGGTGCCTCAGTAGTGAGTATTCTTATTCTTATCTTATATCCTTACCTCACTGTCAAATTTTCATATGAAATCAATGCCTCAATAACAGTTATTTTTACTACACTGGACACACTGGACATTCCTCTTTATACCATCAATATAGTGCGTGAATAAGCATCATGTGTGTTTATGAGTGTAGTCATAGAGCATTATAAATGCATTGTAATTCAAAGTGGTTTAGTAGGTTGTTTGGGAACTCAGACCTAACCAGTTTTTACCTTTAAGTCATACATGCCACTGGAGTTTTAGTTGAATTTTCATTGATTGAGGACTCTAAAGAGGAAATACAGCAAGTGTGGCTGAACAAAAAAAAATTGGAAATGTTATGATGGACAAAATGGGATCTGTTTCTGTGTAAGAATGTAACGTATCTCTGTGGACAAAAAAAAACAAAAAACAAAAAAAAGGATAAGTGAAAACTAAACAGACAGAAATAAACATGAGTCATTAAAGTGTTTGAATTTATATTGATATATATATAGAAAAGGAGGTTTGTTTAATACTTTCTGCCATCACTGTTACACAGCACAGTTTTAAAGTGTTCAAGCCTCTCTCTGTGTTTAATTATTGTCTGTGGTTTTCTTAAAAACCGGCTACTTCTCATGATTAAAATTCTCAGTGTCATAACAGTAATTAACCTTGGTCTGTGTCTCAAAGTATGCCATGTTGAGTCCTTTAGTTCAGTGGTTCCCAACTGGTCTAGCCACAGGGTCCATTTTATATAGATATTTCTGGATTACATTTCTCCCCCCAGTAGCTTCCATGTAATGTGAGCCAGTGTCTCAAACTCAATACCAGATATTATACAACACAGGACACTCACCTCTTCATATTGGATTTAAATGCTTCTTGTATTTTGTATAAATATTTGGTAAAAACACATGGCCCTCAACAACAGATGTTTTTTGACTTTTTTGTCACCCTCTTGCTGCACCTAGTCTTGAGGAAAGGAAGGAGCAGTGGCAGAGAGAGGAAGAGGAGAGAAGGAGAAACGCACCTGATCCTACAGCCCCAGCTGGTCACACCTTGATGCCTGAGAGTGAGAGACAGGAGACGCTGAAGTCCCTCAAAGAAAGTATGTCTCTGCTGCTCCTTATATAAATGATGACAACATTACCTCAAGATACAACATGAACAGTGGTTATTTGCTTCTCTAATTGTGCTAATTTTGTCTCCTCAGCCCATCGCTCCTTGGTGAGTGAGCTCCTGTCACTTCCTCTAAAAGCTGACAATCTGGGTGTTCGTTCACGCCGGGCCCATCTTGATTGTAAGCTTTCTGAAATTGAGGAGGCCATTAAAATATTCTCCAGGGACAAAGTTTATGTAAAAATAGATTCCTAACACATGAGGAGGACGAAGAGGAGGAGAGAGAAGGAAGATGGTCCTGTAAATCCACTGCTTCATTGAGATTCATTTTCATTTTGTAGTTGCATTATGTAACAACCCTGTAAAATACATGATCATTTTAATGTTAGTAAAGTGCTTTCTTTTGTAAATTAAAGATTCTATATCATGAACTGAGTGAATATTACATAAGGTCAATGAATTACGAAATACATGCTAAAGAATGATATGCAGTTTCCTTTTGGAAGAAAAAAATAAGCAGATGCACTGTAAACCGAACAGTAAAAACTGTTAGCTCCATAAATGTTGAGATGTGTTTTGTTTTTGTGTGAAAGTGGCTGGTGATTTGTAAAAATAAATATTTTTGTCAAGTGATTGTGTATGTATATTTTCAGATGCTTGGGTATTAAAACATACAATGCATTAGTGTGTATATAGACAGTATCAATATACAGGGGAAAGTATGCAGATAGAACAATAACTAGAGACTAGTGTCTCAGCCTATTGTTAGTTGAATCAGAGAGTAGTTTCACATATTGCTCACCATCCTTCAAGAAAACTTTTTTTTTGTTGGTAAATTTTCATTTATGATTTTTTTTGCCAACATACTTATCAAGTTTCTTATATGTATTTTTTTTAATATACTTTCTTGGTTTTTTTTTTAAGAAAACAAACACCACATTTTACCATAATAATATATAGAAAATAGATGATCAATGACAAAGGTCTTGCTAGAATTGCTTGGTGTGAGAACAATGCCAAAAAAGGTGTGAAACTGTTTCTTTTTATTTTTGAGCAGATCCTGTTTATTTTTTATTCACACAAAACTTTATTTGACAAAAAAAATTAAAAAAAAAAAAATCAGGTAAGGTACAAACAAGCAAACAACACATTACAGGAGCGCTAGTAAAAAGTCAGTAAAATAAAGTAGACAAAAAGTATCTAAAACATTTTTTAAAAGGGATGATAAAAACAATGCAATTAGAGACAAATAAATATGTTAAAAATGTATACTTAAAATGTAAGAATTATAATAATAGAAAAAATCTGCAAAGGTCTTACTAGAATTGTTTGGTGTGAACAATGCCCAAAAAGGTGTAAAACTATTTCTAAATATTCTTTATTACCATAAAACTCTATTTGACCCCCCAAAAAAAGTTAAGACACAAACAAGTACACAACACAGTAGAGGAGCGCTAGTAAAAAGTCAGTAAAATAAAGTACATAAAAAGTATATTAAGAGAAAAATAAGGGATGAAAACAAAAAAATAATGCAATGAGAGACAAACAAATATTCGACATAGAAATTAAAGAAATAGAAATAAATGAATCAAATAAATATATTATTATTATTATTATTATTATTATACTAAAATAAACAACTTGAAATAGTACAGGCAAGTTTTTTTAAATCGACAAAAGCTACGTCATAACCTACGTATGTATGACGTATGACGCACGCCCAACCCCCTCTGCGTCCTTCGCTCATTGTTCAGCTTGTGCTAGCTAATGTGCTAGTCAGAGGATAGCCAATATTACGAAGAGGTTTAAACTTTTCATGCATGCATTAAAGACAGTTTGAGTTTAAAACAAATATTTGAGAGCTCGTCAAAGCAACCATGAGCAAGAGGAAAGCGCCGCAGGAATCCCTAAATGAGGGAATAACAGACTTTCTTGTCGGTACGTGGAGAGGACAGACGGTTGTGTCTAGCTAGCGTGAGACCGGGTTTCTCTTACTAGTATAAAATAACTGTATAAGTAGTTATGTATTTCTAAACAAAATATGCTAAATGGTGCTGTTTGTTTCTCAATTTGACACTTGGTATGCTGGGAAATTAAATCAGAGTTTCTCTGCTTTGACGCTGACAGACAGTGTTGTCATTTAAATGCCTCCTGCCTTCAGCTGAGTAGGCAGCTCCTAATATAGTCATAGACTGCAGAGGTGAAAGGGAAATGTTAAGACATTGATGCCTTACTTTTGTTTCCAGAGTTGGCCAATTACGAGAAAAACGTCAACAGGGCAATACACAAGTACAATGCCTACAGGTAAGCTGAGCTTTGTGTAAGGATGAGGGTTTCACTATTGTCCATGTTAAGATGTATGATAACAAATGAGGTATACACATCAATCTCTGTTACAAATAGCATAATCTCAATTACCAGTTTTAAAGCTATGAAGCCATGAAGTCCAACGATCGAATTACAATTTATTGATGATTATTTAGGCTTTTTTAAACATTTAGTCTACTCTTACTGATATAAATTGGGGTGGACAAAGCTCTTCTCTGTATAATGGAACACAGTTCAAGAGCAAAACAAATTACAGCCTTCATAATGACCATAAATCTGAACAATAACATATCTGTAAAATAGTCTAAACAAAAACTGACAAAACCTTAATAGAGGTAGGGTTAATCGCAATGTTTAAGACTGCATCCCTTTCAGTTAGGGGTGCCAAATAAATTGGCAACTGAGTGAATAAGACATTATAATACATGTAAGAGAAGACAAGACAAGATAAGATAAAACTTTATTGATCCCACACCAGGGAAATTCACGTTACAGTAGCTCAAGTAGCACGGATAGAAAAGCAAGCTGAATAGCAAAAGAATACTTAAAAGTAAAGTTATATATACATATATGTGTTTATATCTATATATATATATATCTATATCTAT